AAAAAAAAAAAAAAAAAAAATAATTCACAGCCAGTAAATTTAGGTCTACTAAATGCTGTATCCGAAATGCATTGAAAATCGTATTCATTAATCTTTTGCTCAAACAATTATGCATGGGACGCATTAAAATTTAGCTGCAGCAGTGAAGCCACCAGTCATGTTGTTGCTGTTGCTAGTATTTTTTTCTATTTTTAAAAGCAGCACGTGGGTTGATTTTCGCGCCGGTTTTAGCTATTGAACAATAAAAATAAAAAAAACAAGACGCTGAAAGTAAACAAAAGCAATAAAAACATAATTCACAAATTGCGTCCGGCTCAATTTATTTTTATGAGTGCCTAAAAGTGTGCAACTAATTAAATTTTATAATAGAAACCAAAGCATTGTATTAAATGTTAGAGACGCACAAATACATATATGAAGCCATTTAAGGGATACATATACAAATGATAATAAAGTTTGTGACTTAAGTCTTTTGTTTGCTGCATAGAGTCGAACGAGTAAATAATGACACGAATCGCTTGCAATATTTCATTGCACTTTTATGGCAAGGAACCCAGACAATGTTTCATTGATTTTTGGCGCGCCTTTGAGTATTTTTTCGACACCTTTTTGTTTGCAATATTTAACTCGTTCACGCTCTAAAAGGCATAAAGAACTTGTTTCGGATAGCCACTTGCCGATGCAATTAAATGCCACGACCCTTTTGTGCAGCGCGCACCTTAGCGCATAGTATAAAAAGCCTTAAAATTGTTGGTTCAACGCACAGTTTCTGGATATACAGCAACGAGTCCTGCGCTCAGCTCAAATAATCAACCAAAAATCTATATACGTATAAAAATAAAAATTAAAATGTTTAAATATGTAAGTATGTCAATAAACTACGCAAGCAGCAGCGAGCAAGCGAGTAGTTACTAAAAAAAAAAAACTTTTTTTGTTTAAATAGCGTCACACATTTAAATGAAAAAAGGCGAATTATTTTTATATGGCATTTTTAATTGCCTCATTCATTCATTCATTCATTCGCTTGAAGCGCTAAAATATTATGAAATTGCTTCGTTAAACGTTGCATTACACCTCATTTGTGATTCATTTCTTTTCTTTTTTTTTTTTGCGACTTTGTCGATTTCTCACTCTGCCAGTTCGTTTGTGTTGCTGCCCTCTTCTCGTTGACCTTCGTCTATGCGGACAACATCGATAAAAATGCCGAAATACGTAGCTTTCAAAATGCTGCATCCGATGCCGAGGGCAACTACCAGTTCTCCTATGAGACAAGCAATGGCATTCAACAACAGGAGGCCGGCAGTTTGGACGGTGGTGTGCGCGGCTCACTGAATTACGTATCGCCCGAAGGTGAACGCATCTCCTTGAGCTACACTGCCGATGAGGAAGGCTTCCACCCGGCAGGTGATCATCTGCCAACGCCACCACCAATACCAGCATACGTGTTGCGTGCCTTAGAATATATCCGTGCACATCCACCACAACTAAAGGAAGAGCAATAAACAATGGCGGCGCCTACACACACACACACACACACACACAGCTTTAAATGCAATCAAACTGAAGCCACGATTCACGAAACAATGCTCTATACGCGGATTGGGTCACCACCGGCCAACCTACTGACATGTCAAAGCTGAAGTGTTAATTGACTCATTTCAATGAATTTTTCTTGTTATTACGTTTTGTTTTTGTTTTTTCATTACTTGTTTTCGACGCATAGTAATTAGCTGTTAATCTGTGCATGCCTCATTTTGTTTTCGCGCGTACAGTTTGACATATTGGCGCGCGCATAGTCATTATTTGTAATTAATAGTTTTTGTTTAATAAATGAAGTGTTTAAATTGAAAATTTTTGACTTTTGTTTAGAAAATAACAAAAATCACCAATTTGTGTCTGTTTCAAGTTTTCCTATGAAGATATTCTATTGATACCGATCGTTTTAATATTATAGAGATGTAACTAAAAATTTACGTTCTTGGAGATTTCCTCATACAATTAATAAGTTTGATAAGGAGAATATGTTGGGCCTAATAGATGACTAAACTTCCCAAAAATGGCGAAGATATGTGTCAAAATTGAAATTTTTAAACAATTCTTTATGTATACATATTATTAAAATTGCGATATATCGATTGTCATTGCTTATCAATTCATCGATATATCAATACTAGGGTGGTCCTTAAATGTAGAAAGCTAATTTTTACATCAAATTTCCTAAGCCTCAATTCCTACGTCGATGCTACTATAGCCAACGATGTCACATATAAATTTTGGTCCCGATTGGAGACGGTTAAAGCGTGTCGCACAGTGGGCAAAGTTCAGATTCCTCTGTGGAGGCTGAAAAAATTAAAATTATTTTTTCTTTCATCTAATACCCAAAATCGGTACTACCATAGTCAAAGATATCACATATAAATCGGGACCAAAATTTATAGTTGATATTTTTGACTGTGTTACTATCGATTTTGGTTTAGATGAAAAAAAAAAAAATAATTTTATTTTTTTTATTTGTCAATGTTATTGTGGCTTATTAACATTTTATTTTTAATATTTTTATTGAGCTTTGTACCACGATTGTTTATTAGGAAAAATTGAAAAAGCAACAAAGTCTTAGCGGTAGAAGTTATAGCAGCTATTTCGGAGATCACCAAAAAATTTAGAAATCCCAAAAAGTTATGTGTTTAAAATTTTACTGAAGGAGATATGCTGCATGTATAAGTAATTCTTGGTTTGCGAACTGCTTTTCTTCTTCTTATTTGGTGTTACAACCAGGGACCAAAAATATCCATTAAATAGCAAGATTTTTTATTTATTTAATCCAAATATAACGGTTGAATTTAATCGGAAAAATAGAAATACAATTTTAACGATTAAATTATGATTTCTATCATAACCGTTACGCCAATTCGCTAATTTCTCCTCTCCTTTGCGATGTTGCGCCAGTTGTTCACCCCCAGGTGTATGCACTTGGTCCTTTTACCGTTTTCTTAAACGATCCTGCTTTGGTTGAAAAATTTTTAAAACATAATTTTTGTTATTTATGAAAGCACTTTTCAGTTTCCTACCGTTCCCAACGTACCTGCTTTTGGTAAGAGTTGTTCCCCCGCTTGATGTTCAGGCTAATATCATTTGAGCAATATTTAGCCATCTCTAAATACTAAGGGTGTATTTTAAAGGTATTTTAAATACAAAAGTATTAAAGTATGTCCATCACTGCTTCCTAAGCGCCAAATTTAGCCTCGTCAGAATCATCACATATGTATGTAGTAGATGGTTTAGCGATCTATGTAGCCTGAGTATTACAAATATTAAAATATAAAATTGTTTTAAATATTATGCTACCAATTCCCACCATTAATGCCGGTCGAATGAATCACTACTCACTTAAACAGCTGTTGGCCCTGCACATTGATGGCTCGCCGCTTTCCACACAAAGCCATTTACTTGCTCATCTTAGCGGATTCCCATGACAGTAAAAACCAGTAAACCAGTATCATATAAATACATTTGAATAAGAAAGGTGCCAACAGGTTTTTATTTGACATATTTTGGGTTTTGTTTGGATTTTTTTTTTTTGCGGCGCGATTGCAATATGTTTACGGTGACCATATTTATGGGAGCGAAATACGGGACAAAAAATAATTTTGCATATTCTTGCAAAAAAAAAAAAAAATACAGATCTTAAAGCCTTTTTCAATGATCCTAGATGTATTATGCCTGAAACAGCATCCTTATGGTAACATCACAAATTTGTAGGTTATTTTTCTCTAGATTTTTAACTTAACGCGCGAAATTTGTTTAAAAAGATTAGTTAAATTTAGTATAATAAATTGTAATTTTAAAGTCGGTAGGACTTACCGTTCATTTTTGGCAGTTTTTTTTTTTTTAAACGGTGTTACAAATTTTTTTCATACAAAGTATGTTCGACAACTTTTTAAAAGAGAAGCAACTTGCACTTTATTATACTAAATTTTAATGACGAGTCCTAATTTACATTTTAGTCACTGTATGTATCCCTCGATTCCAATCACAGTATTCGGGTTAGAAAATAATAACTGTTTATGGAGAAAATCACCGATCATATACCAACATCACTTAAAACTCCCGCATAGGCATGCGATTTTAATGAGCCATTAAGTCGTCGAAATACCGAACACCGAATACGGCACAAATACAGGACATTAAAAGAAATACAGAACATTTGGCGTCCCGTATAAAATTAACAAATGGACAATGGGTCAAAAAAGACGGATGGTCACCGTAAATATGTTTGTTAGTACGTTTGCTATAAATTTGTCAGTTTTGTGAGAGTTTTTTGTACAAATATTTTTACAATTTAAAAAATTAAATTAAAAAATGATTACCCATAAACAATAAACTTTACAGTGTAACAATAAATATTTTTTATACATTTGTGTACTATTATATTTTCTTCCTGGTGCACTGGCTAGCTAAGCGATTTTCTTGTTCGTGGTTTTTAAGAACATATGCAAGTATAAAAATGGGCAGCGAAATTGCATATCAAATTGATACCTTGTTTATTCCCATACACGATTCATACTGTTCATAGGACTAGCTAAACTACGTTTAAAGTTTTTTTTTTTACTAAATAAAGATTTGTTAATTCATAACAACAAATTTGGACATAAACGTCTTAAAGCACACTTAAATGCCGCTAAGTGCTTTAAAGTCATATCATTTAAATTCAATCATCAATTAATTAAAATTTAATCAGATTTTAATCGAAAATGTGTTAAGCTGCATCGTTAACCACCAGCTACCTGATTGGCAGTAAAATTTCTTTAAGTTTTATGTGAAAATAATAAAGTACGTAAGTAATGGCAATTAATTCAATTTCACCATAAGCGCACATAAATAATCACACACACTTCTGGGTGATTTGAGCGTAGTTCGGATTGATGCCGATAAAAACGAGATTTTGACACTTTTGTGATGGCAAGCAAAAATAACTGAACTGAATGAAAACAAAAATAAAAATAAAACCACATTTTAGGGAGAAGCACGTTTTAGTTTTAATTTTGGAGCGCAACAGGTAACTGTGACATATGTAGATACATATACATATGTATATGTAACTACATAAGTATGTGAGTTTATAGAAGCAATGACAAATGTATCGCTAATGAAATCAAATTAAACTAACTTGGCATTTAACTTTAGAATTAAAGGAAAATTTTAATATGATTTAAAAATTCTAGGCATAACTACAAACACACATACATATGTAAATTTCTACTCGAAAATATTACGTATGTTTTTATTTAAGAACTGTTTACACAAAATTCGCGCAAAGTAATTTATTTTAACCAAACGCACTACTCAATAAAAAGACGCACCAACTACATAATATGCACATAAGGGTGGGTCAAAAATTGCTTTCCAGCCACCCCCAGAACTGGAGGGTATCGAAAATAAGGAGACCGGTATTTTTTTATTTTGAAATTAACATTTAATGGTTTCAACAGAGCTTTGATATTTCCCATGTAATTTATATTACGAAAGTGCATTTTTTCGTAGAATTGCTATAAAATTGTTAAAAACCACAATTTTTATGGAATACGAATATTTTCTTTCAGAAGTCTTAAAAATAATAAAATTAACAAATCCATTTAGTTGTTCGTAAGCAATACGGTCACGAACACATAAAATAACTAATTTTGTGTACACTTAATAGTTACGTATTGAAATTTTAAAGTGAAAAATACCTAATTAATTTTATGTTTATAGCTTTCTAAAGAGAGATATTCTTATTCTTTCTATTTATTATTCATTTTGCAAAATAAGATATAGTTGGGAAGGTTATCAACCTTTCTATCAAAATATCTGTTTTACCTTCATATTCCGTTGTTAAAATTTTGTATACAAAGTATTTTTTGAAATAAGCGCAGCATTTTTTAGTCAAACCATAGCCATAAATTTCTATTTGAATTTGAACATATTTCCGAGAAGGAGTCTCAAAGTGCTTAGAAGTTAAACATTTTTGGAAGTTACACCAAAAACCAAAAACACCAAAAGTTACCTTTCCATTGACATCTCATTGTGAGTTAAATTTCAATTAGTAAACGCCTTTATTGCACAATTTATCCCCCTGTAACAAAAGACTTTAGAAACGAGCTTTTAGTAAAATGTTCACTTACTGTACATATCGACGCTTCCCAACCATACACTGAGAAAAAAATCAACCAAATATTGGTTAATATTACCAAATTCAAACTTGAAAAGGAATCAACGTGACTCTTTTGGTTATTATTAACAATGCCTTGGTTCATATATTTTCAACAATGATTTGGTAATATTAACCACAATTTTGTTTACATCAACCAAACTTTTGGTTGTCGATTTATTCGTTTGAATACGTTTATGTTCTGCACTTCACAGATGCTTTTTCATAATTCGGAGATACAAAACAACAATTTTTATTATCACTTTAACATGTTGCCTCTGGCGGGATTAGTAGCGAGCATCTCTACACACTCAGCCACAGCCGCTTTATAAATGTGTTTGCAAATGTTAAACTTGAATTAATTTTCTTCGTCGTTTGATTTGGTTCTGCACTTCACAGAGGCTTTTTCATAATTAAAGAAAAGCAAAAACAAAAAAAAATAAAAAAAATTATGTATCGCGCTTACAGCATTCGCACTGCTGAAAGCCAACAAATAACAGCAAGCGCCTCTGCTCGTTCAGCCACTGCCCCATTCATACGAATTTGTTCTCAAATGTTCAGCTTGAATCACATTTTTTACATTCGACTTATTGACCACGAAAAAATCAAACCATGACTTGGTTGAAAAAACCATTGGGCTTTTGGCTCAGTGTACTATGGTAAATAAGTCTGCCTACCTACGTCTCGAATGACTTAGCATGGTACGGTTTGGAGGTGTCGATATGCACATACATACATACATATATGTACTGCAAATTTAATGTCATAATATTTCAAAAGTTGGCTTGATCTGCAATGGCCAATTCTGTTTCGCACACTTCTTTAAAATGCACATGGTAGGTGATAATTTATATA